GGGATGGCCGACTGTCAAAGTATGTTGGCTTTGCCATAAAATGTTACCGTTGCGTGCATTAAAAAGAAGGCGCAAACAACGCTCCAGCAGATATTTACCAAAAGGGAATTCAACTTTCCTCCGGCTGTCCCAGTTTATCTACACGCACAAGCGCTTGCTTAAAGGCATGCAAAAATAATTTCATTTTAAAGCCGAGCAGTGTGCAAAATTGAAATCAGCAATAAGTATATATTAAAGCATAAATCATTATTGATTACTGCAGACCCAACTCCTAAGAGCCCAATAGCCTGAGAGCCTTTAACGATGTGTAAACAACGGCTTACAGCCCAGGCCTAGAAGTAGCAATCGTTTGTCATAATTTGCACAGCTTAAGTGCCCTTAAACAATCTTCAAATTGATTTACAACAAACACTTGGCCATGCCTTAAGTAGTCGAACTGAATACACAAAAATATATTTGAATATTGTAAATATTTTAGGTGTTATCAACAAAAATGACGATGAAAGCAGACTTAAAGTCAGCTATAAATTCATGCTGATATTAAAAAAGAAAACTGAAATAAAGTGAATAACATAATAAACTTATAATTTCCCTGAAATAGTGCCCCTGCTGCGTTCAATGTGGCTTCAGTGCTTCAACTATTCATAAAAACGTTGCACGCAGAAGGAAACGAAAGTGGAGTAGAACATGCCAAGCTGGATAGTAAAATTTTAAGGCCCAGTACAATATTAAATTCATTTGTTACTCCTACAAATGTTGAGCTTTCATTACGCCGCATATTTTTTCAATACCCTGCTAAAAACAAAAGCCAGCAATGAGGGTATACTGCGCAATAAAGCATATAGCTTGGCAGCTATGTAAGGTCAAATGACAATTGAAATTTCGGATTTGTAATTTGAAAAAATTCTATAATGATAACATTCTAATCAGAAAACTTCTCAAAGATGTGAACATCGTTCTATGCTGCAATCAAATGTGTGTGATCTATGCTAAGCTGAGATGTGTTGCAATACTCTTTACTCACAGTAAACTACAGCGATCTAAGCTGACCTACTGATCTTCCCACTGTTAGGCAATCTTAGTGCAACTCGAAGAATCAATTGAGAGTCTACACTTTATGATGAAAAGCGTTGTATGAGTTGTAACACTCCGTGCTGGGCTGACTCTAATACTATAACTTATGTCTATTGCCACGACTCGATCGTGTTGAAGTTGGAGCTGGTTGGGGTTGCAGTTGGTTGGGTGGTTGCAAATTGCTCAATGCTCTCCCGCATTCAAAGAGGTGGTCGTCATGCTTGAACATGTGTTTGTAACCCTGTAGCCCAGTCTATAGGATATCTCAGAGTCGCATACACTCTATCTCCCGCTCTCTGTCTCCCTGACAGCTTTCCTTTTTGTTTATTTTTTGTTTTTGCTCTTTCTGCATTATACATCTGCACAAATGTTCTTTTTATGACCACCAAATGCGTGTGTAATTATGCCTCGCACTGAGCGCCTTGGGCAACATTCCAACTGGCCACAGTTAATGTGGCTGACCAAATGGTCGCGTGTTTACTATCCACAGACACACTTACACACGCAAACACACAGACACATATGCATATATACACAGAGATATTTTTGTATGTCCCAGCTCTCTGGTACATGAATTTGTGTAGCATGAGTTTAGTGCCAGGGAATTGCCCCAACAATTATTATGATGGCTGATAAGCGACACACACACACACACACTCGCACGCTCGCACGCACACCATCACACACTTTGTTACACACGGCAAGTCACGCACATACACTAAAACGACGAGGCAGCATTTGGTTTGCTACGTGACTGTTGGTAATATTCTTGTGGCAACTTAACGTGTACGCAATGTGAGGCATGGGGTTAACATAATGTGGGGCGTATACGTAATGTGGCGTGCTTCAAAACTCAGCCAGCGACGAGCAGAGTTGCACTGCGAACACATGACATTTGTGGCAACATTTGTGACCGCCTCAGTTGCCTTGGCCTTTTTGGTTAGGGGCGTGCGGACCCAAACGCAGGCTCTGGGGGTGTCGGGCGTGTGTAATACACCTTGCCCACATGTGTGTATTACAAGGCAACAACTGTGTCCGCTTTCATTGTCATTCCATTTATGTGACTGTGCCTGCCTCTCTTGGCACCTCGTGCCTTTCGCCGTCTCCTTTATTTTTTATTGTTTATTACAGTTTTATTATTATCGCAACAGAGAAAAGGTTTTTTGTATGCTTTCATGCAGGCGCCATTATTTCAGCTGTGGTAGCTGCAAATTAAAGACAAAACACATACGAAACACGCTGATGAATTGCCAGATAATTAAATATGCCAAAACGCACAATGGACGTGTCCTGTGGCTATACAAAGCAGAGGCGCAGCTGGCGAACAGGTAGGCCGTCAGGCATGACTTCAGCGTGAGAGCCTAACAGCAAGCACCGGGCAAACTGGCATTTCGCTACATGGTCGACATTAGCATTTTGATTGAAATGGTAATTGCCAGGGAATGAATTAGTTTCTAAAACAAAAGAGCATGTTCGCAAGGATTCCTCTTCCAACATGCAACAATAATAATTATATTTCGCTTTCACTAACTAACTTAATAATACTATTATCAACAAATTGATGTGTGCGAAAGAACGCAAAAAAAGCAGCATGGCCTTGGCTTCTAAGAACTCAGCCTTTAATCTCACATTTATTATCATAATATACATTTTATAATAATCAATGAAAGCTTGTTTATATGTGGGATGATAAGTGAAATAACTCGGGGCTACGCTCCAGAAATATTAAGCTTATGCTCAGACTAATTGAATTGAATTTGTTTTGAACAGTCTTTAACTGTAGAAAGATATCACTACATGAAATGTTGGAAATGTTTCTTTGAAACTAAAAGGTAACGTAAAAAGCAAATTCGAAATTAAACTTTAAGCCGCCTTTTTGAATTAAAAGATGTGAAAATAGAATTTCTTCAACAGACCGTGTTACATGCAGCTCGCGCCTGCTGAAAAGGCCTTATTCAAATTGAAATGAACTTTCTGCCTAAAGCACTCAAGCAGTTTGCTGTGATTAAGTGGCGCCCATTATTCATATCGCTAACAACAAAGATGTTATTTATTCGTAACAAAAGCTTAAATGTCCTATTGATTTGTAGTGCAAGGGGAAAATGTTAAGCAAGGCAAGAATACAAATACTCACTTGGCTGCCGCTTGTGGCGATTAAATCGTATAATTAATGTGATCCGCTTTAATCTTGGCCACTTGACGTCGCTTTCTGGTGCCTGCGAAGCACTCGTTGCGCCTCAGGGACAAGTATTTCTGTTGACGTTCGTAAAAATGCTCGAGTATTTCGCAGTAAAGCAGCAAATACTTGAGTTATTTCAGTCGAGCATAATTGCAAGTTGTTGCCATTTAATTAAAATATTGCGCATACGCCACGTGGCACAGCGACAGCCAGAGCCGACAATGTAGGCTATACATTATGCTGGGTTAAAAAACCCCTAAAACCGCGACCGTCAACCAGACGAGGTCACAATCCGTCGAAGCATTACCAGCGAGGGGCTGCACTAAGCAAAATCCTGAACGAAGCACGCAAAGCCGACTGCATACGTATTATGGCGTATGGCGTGTGCGAGTTAATAAAAATAGTTAATTTCACTAAGACAAAAACAATAACAGGGCTGACTAAAGCCAAATTGCTTTTACTTTTACTTTTACTGTTACTTCGGCTTGATTACAGCGCCCTGCGGGACCTCAAGTAATAAACTTTTTCTGTTGCTCCATTTCATGCCACATGCACAACGCACAACAACCCACCCACACCTACACACACACACACACATTCATACAACGGGCCACGTGTATGTAGAACTTGTGTTATTATTTTATTTATTATTCATTATTATTCACCTTCGCTTTAGCCCAGATTCACTTTGAATTTGTCTAATTTTAGTAATAAGACTCCCAGTTTAATTGTATTTCTATTATATTTTTGTTTTGTTTTTTGATTTTGTTTTGTTTTGATTTAACGTAATATTCACGACACGTAGCGGGTGCCGTATGCCGTTCTTAACGTTTTTACGTCACGTCCCACCTCACACGAAAGCCGCCAAAAACTGAACTCGACTAACGGTTAAATGAAAGCCAGCAGTGAGGCAGCGACGTCGGCATAGGCAGCGACGCCGACGTAGGCCGCGTTTGACATTTGCGGAGTCTGCGCGCAGCACATGCCGCCTAATCAAAACAAAGCTAACACTTGGCTGGTTTTTATATAGAAATAAACTGTTTTTAAATGTTTCCAAGTTATTTTAAAATTATTCCATGAATATATCCATTTTTGTATACTTTTATTGTGAAATATTTAAAAGAACTATTGATACGTTTAACTTTTTAACATACATTTAAAACAAATTTCAAATTAAAATATACAAGTCTAGCGTATTTAACTTGAATGACGCCATCTTTTGGAAGACAGTGGAACTTATCACTGCTCATGCCGCAAAGCTAACTGATACGAATCGAAGGAACTAGTTCCCAAGTGAAGCGCTTTATTGAGATTTAATGAACCAAGAGCGAGACAAATATATGAAAAGAAATTAAGGGCTGCATTATCAGTTTGGCGGGCTATAAGCAATTTGAATTGTGTAATGCAAATGAAATATATATGAAAATTACTTCAGATTTTATTTTGTAAAATTTTCGTAAATGTAAACTGGCTTCATATTAAAGACAAAAATGTTTTTTAAATAAAAAAAAATATCAAACAAAGTATTATTTCGTATTGTAATATATAATATCAATTTATTATGTATTAAATCTTATTAAAACAAATGGTTATACTTAAATATTAAATAAATTTTAAATGTTAATTTTCGTTGTGTAAAGTCCTTATGCTAAAAGGGTTAAAGGCAGTTATTTCTAAATTAATATGTGAACATATTAAAAATCATGTTTCGAAAACCAAAATTGTAATTTAGAATACTTTTTGGGGCAAGTTGCGAATTTTGAATAATTAAATTAAATAATTAAATCGATTTTGGAATTTTGTTAAATTTGGCCATATCAAATGGCTGACTGAAGATAAACATAAACACAATGCTGGCTTAAGATAGCAACAACCTATCACATAAAATACCTTTTCACCTTCCCATCGTATGACTCGTACGAGAGCTAAGCAATAAATATAAATTACTGAAACGGATTTCACTTATCGCTGAAGTGGAGCGATTTTCATGCGCCACGCGTTCTTGATCATGTCAGCCGCCTTCTCGGCAATCATGATCACGATTGCATTCGTGTGGCCGGCCGGCACGTGTGGCATAATGGATGCGTCTGCCACACGCAGGTGCCGAATGCCATGGACTCTCAGTTCCGGATCAACCACAGCCGTAGCATCCGTGGATGGTCCCATCTTGCAGGTGCCCGACTGATGTTGCAAGCTGGAGCCGTAGAGGCGCAGGCAACAGCGCCAATAGTCGTTGGTGGCGAAGATCAGATGCTCACAGCCTGGAAAAGGACGCGCATGGAAACGTGTACCCATCTTCAGCATAGACTTGGTACGAGCTATCTGCAGGATCTGTAACATTCACAAAGTTAAGAGAACTCTTGGATATACATTAATAGAAGTGAGTACCATTTCGATGCCCTCGATCATGGCGCGCACATCATCCGGATGCTGCATGAAGTTCGGCTCCATGCGTGGCCAGTGAAAGGGATTGCGACTGCGCAAGGAGATGCGTCCAGTGCTCTTGGGACGCAGCAACACAGGCACCAGACCGAAGGTTTCCTTGTCCTGCATGTCACCAAACATTTTGTCGTAGAACTCATTCGTAATGCCCAGCAAATCGCGTAGGGTGCCAAAGCGATCACCGCTGAGAGAGCCGGCACCCAATACAAGCTCCATATCCGCATAGTCCTTAGCTGAGGATGTGGATGTTAAATTTAAGATAGGGAATCGATCAGATAGATAAGATTACTTACGAAACCTAGAGCTGGGCGTGCGCACAAAGGCGAATGCTTCAGCGCCGCCAGGAATCGTATAGGGTCCTTGACCGGAAAAGATGTAGCGAAAGATGTCCATAGGATTGAGAAGACGTGCATCGTTGACAGTAGAATCGTTTACCATAAACACCAGGCCATTGAGCGTTATGTGATCCTGCAGATTGTAGCCCACTGGCAGGTCCTGCAGCACAGGTATGCTATGCTCCTCCAGATGAGCTCGTGGGCCCACGCCAGACAGCAGCAGCAGCTGCGGACTGGCTATGGCACCTGCAGACAGGATGACCTCCTTGCTGGCGCGCACCACATATCGCTGCCGCTGCTTAGTAAACTCCACGCCCACGGCCATCTTTGTGTTGGGATCGATGAGCAGCTTGGTGACCCAGCTCTTCATCGATATGTGCAGATTGTGCCGCTGCAGCACGGGCTGTATGAAGGCTTTGCTGGTGCTGCAGCGCCTGCCATTGCGTATCGTGGCCTGAGCTCTGGCAAAGCCCATCATGTGCTCGCCATTGGTATCGGTTATATCGTAGCCCAGCTCACGACCCGACTTGAGGAACGCCTTCATCTGCCGCGATTTGTAGTCCGTGAACTGCACATCCAGCAGTCCGTTGCGTCCATGGTAGGGCGACTTGTATAGGTCGGGGATGCCGATGCGCTCTGATTTCTTAAAATATGGCAAGACCTCCTCATATGACCAGCCCGTGTTATTCGCAGCAGCCCAGCCATCGTAGTCCCGACGATGACCTCGCGTATATAGCATAAAGTTGATCAGACTGGTGCCTCCGATGCCGCGTCCCTTAGGCCAGTTGCAGACGCCGTTGCGCAGGCCCTGGCAGGCGTTGGGCGTGGCATCCGCCTTGTAGCCCCAGTTGTAGCGCGTGGTCTGGGTAAGTGCCGCTGTCAAAGGCACATCGCTGATGAAAGTCTCCTGGTCGCCCGCCTCCAGGAGCAGCACACTCGCAGTCTTAATCTCGCTCAGTCGATTGGCGAGCACACAGCCCGCCGAGCCGGCGCCCACTATGATGAAGTCATACTCCGGCAGAAAGGCCGTGGTGTCCGGAATGCGTGTGTTCAGCAGCGATGTCTCGAAATCGCGCACCAGATCCACCAGCAGCTGGCAACGGACACAGTTCCAGCAAAGGCAGAGTATCAGCACGTACTCCAGGCGCATCTTCGGCAGCAACAAATCAAGTATCTGAAAGATAAGCTAATTAGCGAAACGTTCTAGGCTCTCGACATATTAGCGAGCGCTTGTAAATTGCAAACGGCCTTCGATTTTCCCTTTCAACAGCTAATTCTGGCAAAAACCACAATTCACGCACCAGCGGCTATCAAAATTCTCCGATATCTGCTGATTATTCCATTTTTTTAGCTCAAGTTCAACAAGTTTCCGATTACATCCGTAAGGAACTCTTGGATATACATTAATAGAAGTGAGTACCATTTCGATGCCCTCGATCATGGCGCGCACATCATCCGGATGCTGCATGAAGTTCGGCTCCATGCGTGGCCAGTGGAAAGGGATTGCGACTGCGCAAGGAGATGCGTCCAGTGCTCTTGGGACGCAGCAACACAGGCACCAGACCGAAGGTTTCCTTGTCCTGCATGTCACCAAACATTTTGTCGTAGAACTCATTCGTAATGCCCAGCAAATCGCGTAGGGTGCCAAAGCGATCACCGCTGAGAGAGCCGGCACCCAATACAAGCTCCATATCCGCATAGTCCTTAGCTGAGGATGTGGATGTTAAATTTAAGATAGGGAATCGATCAGATAGATAAGATTACTTACGAAACCTAGAGCTGGGCGTGCGCACAAAGGCGAATGCTTCAGCGCCGCCAGGAATCGTATAGGGTCCTTGACCGGAAAAGATGTAGCGAAAGATGTCCATAGGATTGAGAAGACGTGCATCGTTGACAGTAGAATCGTTTACCATAAACACCAGGCCATTGAGCGTTATGTGATCCTGCAGATTGTAGCCCACTGGCAGGTCCTGCAGCACAGGTATGCTATGCTCCTCCAGATGAGCTCGTGGGCCCACGCCAGACAGCAGCAGCAGCTGCGGACTGGCTATGGCACCTGCAGACAGGATGACCTCCTTGCTGGCGCGCACCACATATCGCTGCCGCTGCTTAGTAAACTCCACGCCCACGGCCATCTTTGTGTTGGGATCGATGAGCAGCTTGGTGACCCAGCTCTTCATCGATATGTGCAGATTGTGCCGCTGCAGCACGGGCTGTATGAAGGCTTTGCTGGTGCTGCAGCGCCTGCCATTGCGTATCGTGGCCTGAGCTCTGGCAAAGCCCATCATGTGCTCGCCATTGGTATCGGTTATATCGTAGCCCAGCTCACGACCCGACTTGAGGAACGCCTTCATCTGCCGCGATTTGTAGTCCGTGAACTGCACATCCAGCAGTCCGTTGCGTCCATGGTAGGGCGACTTGTATAGGTCGGGGATGCCGATGCGCTCTGATTTCTTAAAATATGGCAAGACCTCCTCATATGACCAGCCCGTGTTATTCGCAGCAGCCCAGCCATCGTAGTCCCGACGATGACCTCGCGTATATAGCATAAAGTTGATCAGACTGGTGCCTCCGATGCCGCGTCCCTTAGGCCAGTTGCAGACGCCGTTGCGCAGGCCCTGGCAGGCGTTGGGCGTGGCATCCGCCTTGTAGCCCCAGTTGTAGCGCGTGGTCTGGGTAAGTGCCGCTGTCAAAGGCACATCGCTGATGAAAGTCTCCTGGTCGCCCGCCTCCAGGAGCAGCACACTCGCAGTCTTAATCTCGCTCAGTCGATTGGCGAGCACACAGCCCGCCGAGCCGGCGCCCACTATGATGAAGTCATACTCCGGCAGAAAGGCCGTGGTGTCCGGAATGCGTGTGTTCAGCAGCGATGTCTCGAAATCGCGCACCAGATCCACCAGCAGCTGGCAACGGACACAGTTCCAGCAAAGGCAGAGTATCAGCACGTACTCCAGGCGCATCTTCGGCAGCAACAAATCAAGTATCTGAAAGATAAGCTAATTAGCGAAACGTTCTAGGCTCTCGACATATTAGCGAGCGCTTGTAAATTGCAAACGGCCTTCGATTTTCCCTTTCAACAGCTAATTCTGGCAAAAACCACAATTCACGCACCAGCGGCTATCAAAATTCTCCGATATCTGCTGATTATTCCATTTTTTTAGCTCAAGTTCAACAAGTTTCCGATTACATCGATGCACAACAGCAACAAAAATGTGTGTGTGCAAAAACAAATCAATAAGAGAAACAAGAAAGCCAAACAATAACAAACATATGGCCGTATGGCTGAACCGGTTGCCGATCAAAACAGAAAAGCTGAAGAAGTGAAGAAGTGCCCAAAGCGAAATTCACAAAATAATTCGAGCGCAATCCGGGCAAAAATATATTTGCCCGTTGACGTTGACCCATAAACGCGCACGCGGATGTTCATTAAAGTCAAGCGAAACATAAACAAAATGTAAAAAATCAATAAATAACTCCAGAAGCTATAAACGCAACGACTTTACGATACGCTCTAACTAAATTCAGAAACAGCAAAGAATTTTGAATGTTTTTTCTTGTAATGAATTGAGTTCGTGTATCGAAATAATTAAATTTGTGCAGTTGGCTTTAGAGTCTAATACATTTATAAGTATTCAATGTGAATAACTATACATTTTTTGTTATAGCTTTTTGTTTTTGAATTTTCTAATTATAAGCCAATTTGTTAGCCTCACTAATCAGTCTGAATTATGGCCTATTGCATGCAATTCGAACTTGAGTTCATATGAATTACTTTTAATTAACATATTATTGTGTGCATTCCAACGAATTGTAGTTGTTGGATATATTTTAGCTATATTAAAAACTCATTTACATTCTCCCATATGCCACCAATTTAATACTGTACTTGTGATACCCTGCTGCAGAGCATTCCTAATCTAAACTAAGCCACTCGGTATAGTGGGCGCGCTGTGATTCCGCAAAATTACTTTATATGCAAATGAAATGGCCAATATTTTTGGGTTTTTTACCTCGAACATTTAAGTCTATCGAAGCTAAAATTGCACAAATAGGCAAAAAAAATAACAAAATATATGGGCATTTCAATTAACCCCAATAAGCTGAGATACGTCTTACAGCTAAAAGATTTCACTTTACAGACACAAACAAAGTGGAGATATTGATAAATATTCCTTTGTTTCAGCACAATTGGTTCTACGTGAGTGGCCTCCAAACTTTGTCACTTTGTTGCTGAAGTGCAAGAAATATTCATTTATAACCGATCAGCCGACGAGATCTCCCGGACAGAACTGCCCTACCACAAAACTGTCAGTTTCAGGGCTTCAATCGATCGAAGGGCGCTGCGCTCATTAAAGTTCTTCAGCTACGCTCATAGCCAGTGACTATTATGTGAAAACAAAACTGGTTACGCTTCATATAACACTTATGGCTCTTATAAAAAGTCTTTTAAAATTTTCATGACTTATGTTTCACCTCAGTCAGAGATAACTTAGACCATTTGGCTCTTGTGTCTCTTTAATGGGTCTGTGGGTCAGACTTTGGGCTTGTGAACTGTGTCCAATTAGTCAAGTTTAACAAGTGGCCAGCGTAACGAATGGCTCAAAGGGTTGCATGATATAGATTTAGATAAATGTTGCACAATTATTATCAGATATTTCAAGAATTATTTAATTAGTTGGAAATGCCGTTTTGGGAAATAGCTGATGTGAAGAAAGCCCTGATGAACAAATCTTAAAAAGACGATTAAACCAAAGTTAATTGCAAATGTTTAACTAAGGATTATAATAATTAAATAATTATTTTAAAAGCACTCTTGATTGGTAAACTTCAACAGATATTGCAACTCACTTTAATTATGTTTTTACAACAAATCATCAATATTTAATTTAATACGTGAACAAGAATAAATGAATCTACGATACATAAAAGACTAAGCATTAATAATATAAAATGGGTCAAAAAAACGTCTTTACATGTCACAGATAGATTGAAATCTTTTTTGTCTTGTATAACAAAAGAATCCTTTAATTTAATTTGAATATATAAAAGTTTTTTAAATATGCTTGCCAAATTCACAAATCACGAAATATATTTTATATATTTTTATATTATTTTATATGCATATTATGTTGTTAATTCTGTAAAATAGTCTTTTAGAATATTGTTTAAGACATTTCAAATGTATTCTATTATTTATTTATATATTCATTTTTCTATTAGCCTACACAATTCGCAGCTTTAATAATAATTAAATATTGACACTGCGTCTGCTTTTGGCTGATTAAATAGTATTCTTAGCCAATATTATTGCTGGAGATATATCACACATTTTTATAGCAACTGCATTCACATCAGTTAAAGTCAACAAGTCACTCGCACAGATCCGGCTCAACAGACCCCAAATATATATGTGGAACAATTTATTCACTTCATTAGTTGTGAAATTCTAAACACGTTTGCCTATGCTTACTGCATTCATAGTGCACTTACGCAATGGGCGTGTTGCTCTCCTTAACCGATACACTGGAACTCTAAGCACTCGAGTGGATGTTTGTTTAGTTTTATTTTTATTTTGATTTTGATTTTGATTTTGATTTTGAATTGGTGCTCTCGTCAGCTACTGCGCATGCGCGCGCGCTGCTGTCCGCTGGTTAAATGAATCGCCGCTGCCGGCGCATGCAACGACGAAGTCTATGCGGCACGAATCAAGACGGGTAGCTGGCGGTTAACTCGGTCAGTTTGGCGCGCTACGTTTGCTTCAACACGCAGACGCCGCCGGTGCTGGACAGTAGACAGTGGACAGAGGACAGCAGGCCGGACTAGTTTGAGCTCTGAGAAACAGTTTTTCTCTCGTCTTTTTTCAAGTTCATCGCGTGAACTTGCAAAAAACTTAATTTGGGTTTATTTTTATTTTGTGCTTAAAACCTGCCTTTGCTCCGTTTCTTCAGATATTGTGTGTTTTATATTAGTCATAGACAAATTCGTATTTTTGCATATTTTGACTGGCGTTTGATTAACAGCAGTTTATGCTCGAAATCCATTGGTAGCAAAGCATGCGCTAATCAACAATTTGGTTAGCAATTGCTTGCGAATAAATATAACTATGATCTATGGTGCTTCCGCTATTTAAAGACGTTAGAGCAGAGCAGACGCTGTCGTTGACAGCTCGAGTTCAATGTCAACCGCACGCCGTCCCTGCTGCCTGTGTAGCCGGTTAGCTGTGTGGTTGTGTTTCTGTTTATCTTGTATCTATGTGCCGATGACTTCACGTTACAGCGATTACAAATTTAAAGCTCAGCCATATACATTTGCATACGTACAACATTTAATGTCCTATTCATTAATGGCCAAGCAACAGCAGCAACAACATCTTATGTGCGTCTTCAGCTTCAGTTCGACTGATTTGCAATTTCGTTGCTGATTTTGCGACTTTCATAATCAATTTCTGGCGCCAGCGACCTTCAGTTACTCAAATATATATATATATGAATGTGTATATATATAACTATTTTCAATAGGTTTTATACCTTAAATCCAAACAAATTGCCGCCAATGCATTTTGGCCGTCTCTCGCGCGGCTTTTGTTTAAGTGTTCATAGTTGATATTTGCACAGATTTTATGCATATTCATTTTGCATGACTTGGCAACTGTTGAATCGACTGCTGTTTGATCTTAATCAAGTGCAAAAACACACACACACACAACGGTAAGTGCTGTGCTCATAGCACTCGACTGCTTTAATTGTTAATAGATCTAAAGCCGAGACAAAGCCCTGCTAATTAAAACAGATATGCTAAACAATGAAAAACGAATGTGTTTGAGTGTCAAAAAGTGATAGTATATTTAAATAAATTTGCCTTAAGCGCAGCATGATAAGGCACATTTCATATTTGATTTGCAAATAATTAAATATAAATATATTAAAATATATAAATATTTATAACAGGGCTTCCCAAAAGACATGAAGGGAAACAATGATCAGAGTTAAGGAATAATGGAATAATGTATTTAAAATAAGAAGTGTACAGCTTAAATAAAAACGGCAATATTCTGAGATGTGATTAATAGAAACATATTTCTGTTAGGGGCCATTTTAAAAGAAGTATGAGCCGACGGCATTGCACTCGTTCAGGGCACATAAAAAATTGTATTCAACCGAAAATCAAAAGATTCTCCAATATGTAGAAAAGGCCTAGACTTTAACTGCATATTTTATATTTATATTTTATGGGCGTAAATGTATGCGCTGATTGTCTCTACAAATATCTGTATACTTCAAATTCTCAGTCTAAAGCTTCAGACGGGTTTTGTATTTCCCGCTTTGCTCTTAGGAGGCACTTCTGAACACTTCGAAATTAAGAGTATTATGTCAAATTGGCCTACCTTCAATAACTGCAAAACACTTTGTTTCCATTAAATTATAAGATGGCCTTCCAGTTTTGATTTATTGTGAATAAGTGAACTGGTTTATTAAATTTTCTACTGGATACCACGTAAACAATTACAAATACTATTATTTCGGAACTAATTGATTAGCCACGACGAAAGCTCAAGAGCAGCCAGGGTTCTTTTAATTAGAATTTACAAACAACTTGAAATACGTATTTGTATGCACTTTGCACATTCTAACTAATTGAATGAATACACTAGGAAAAGGCAACGCCTGCTGACTGGCTGTTAAAAGATCAAATATTTCATCAGTTGAGCGCACAAGAACCTTTGGTGATCAGCGCAGGTGCATTGATCAGGTGAATGCTAGAGCTAACTGCGGCTATTCAAACTGAACAATAGAATCGCAAACATAAGCACAGTTAATTGCTTTACTCTAATTGGACAGCCAAATAAGTACTTGCCAACGACCTTGTCAAGGTCGACTCCGAAGATTGCCGAATTTGTCAAAATTAACCATTTTGGAGCGATACAACAAGTGAACAATAACATTCGCACGCTGCCCACACACAATTTGAATTGTCCAGCTTAAACTGCATAAACACGGACACAAGTCGAGTTCAACTCCAAATCGTAGACGTGGTAGCAGGTCGCACAGTTATTTTATATTTAACAATTCAGTGTCAAGTGCTCGACTTGGACGCGTTATCTGTAATTTGTGCCTGGCTCGTAAATCACGTGTCTAATGCCAAATGAAAAAATTACAAAAAATGAAGACGTGAGCTGTGCACGTAATAAACCACAGCATGAACAACGCCCAATGGCAATAAAATTCAGCAGAAAACGCCTCCATAACTAATAACAATAAAAACCTGCAACAGCTCCCGCAAAATATGATCCAATAACAATGGCAACAAAAAAGCCAAATGTCTGAGAGTTGTAAAATATTTTGCATAGCAGACATAGATATATCTAGATATTTATGATTACGAATCTGACAAATGCCGTCTGAGCCAAAAATAAATAAGAGTCCATAAACGCGGTGCACAGGAGAGCCACAAAATCATAATCGAAGAGTCAAAAAGCCCGCTGAATGGCACTCGAATCACTGTGGCCCAGACGGATAGACGTCTCTTGTGGCTTAATTGAATGAACTTGAAACAATTGAAGTGTAATTTGAAATTGCATGACAACAAGATGCGAGACATGTGGGTGTGGATGTGTGTGGCACGCAATATCTTGGGGCATTCCAGAAAAAATAAACATGAAGCAAATACTTTGAAGCAAAAGTTGACTACGTTATACGACAGTTTGCAGCTTCAAATATTAATGCTATATTACAATAATAATACAGTTTTATATAACATTACATTACAAGGCAGTCAATATATTGATTGCCTGAATTCACATTCTAAGTCGAATAATGTATTTAATTGCTCAATCTTTTGCCCAGAAACCTTCAAGATTTCTTTTCAGTTCGGTCAAAATCGAAATACCGTTGCTAAGAGCCTGTAAATCATCATCTTCTTTGCATATTTTTGCATGCAGATTTATCTGACGGACTGCGCCCAGCGTTTCTGGGAACAGCCCCATAATCATAATTTTCATGATTGAGTTGACAGCCGCAACGTCAAAAATGTTGAGACGGTCTTTGAGCTCGTTGATTGCTGTTATTGACACGAACGTCAAGTGTGGGTCTCTCGCTGATTTAAAGCGTTCACTATTCAAGTTTGCGAGTTGAAACAAGCAATAAATAAGTCAATGGGTTTATAAATCTTTTGCATTTCATTTCAATAAAATGAATTTTATTAGAAATTTGTATCTTGATTCAAGTTTCTTGTCTAATTGCTAATCTATTACAATAATGACATTTAAGTAAGTAGAAAATGTAACTGATAAATGTTTAATTTTAAAAATACATGTATCTGAATGTGGTATTCACAATTAGTTACGCTCAAGTAGTTTTGGTTTATATTTTAATCAATGATATCTAGTTATACATCATTTTGTTATTGTTTAAGCTTTCTGACGATCATTTAATTACGTATTGTGGTTTGCTAAGCTAGGTTTAATAAACAATTGCTTTGCATTGAAATCGTATATGTTAATGCAAGTACTTGCTTTATAAAGCCGAAAGCGTGATTATGCCTGATGTGTGTGTTTTTTTAGAAACCTTAATATTACTAAAAGAAATCTTTAAATATGATTTTCATAAATACATTTACATAGGATGTACAAAATGTTGAACATAAACATACTTAAATCTACATAAATTTAGTTTTAATCTTGACATTTGATTTGTTTCATAAATATTTCTCATGTATATGTTTGTGTATTGTATTGTTTTTTTGGTTTTTTATGTATGTGTGTGTTTAATCAAATATTTAACTTACATTTTGTTAATTTATAAATGTAATCAGTTCGAATTGCTGGAACCTCAGTTCCTCGATGTCGCAACAATCGATTTCGATTTGAACAAATAACGAATTAAAATAAAAAGGAAATTAATTTATATTTTATAAATTATCGATCCAATGTATTTTTATCATGTTCTCCAGACGGATCCAACAATATGTGTTGGCATCTCACTTTGATTGCTGTGACACATTGGAATGCGGCATTTTTGCTGCCACCTAAAAGTATGCAGCAGTTTTTTTCTTTTGTATTATTTGTCGCTTAGTGACGCAGCAAGACGTTGCTCACTTTGTTGGCCGCATCTGTTTTGGCCGTGATTTTTTCACGAAAATGCCGATTTTCGGGATTCGCCAGCACCGAAGCAATGAACTCGGACGTCTCCAACTGCAGTTGGGCCAAACGCTTCTGCAGCAACTTGTTACGCTGCACCAGCTTAATCGTCTTAATGGCTATAGAAAGCAGGCCCTGGTTGTGTGTGTGATACTGTTGCTGTGGATAATGCGGCTTGATTGGATCTAGGGCGAACTCATAGCCGCTGTCACCATCGCCCTGATCCTCCTCCTCATCATCATCGTCATCGTCGTCGTGCTCCTTATCCTCATCCATGCCCGAAGCAGGATCACAAAGTTTGGCTGTAGTTGTCTTGCTGTATCCACTGGACTTGCTGTTGCTGTTGCTGTTTGCCATAGTGGGTTGTAATACTGCTTTGATATTGTTGCTGTAGGTGCTGCTGGAATGTGTACTCGCTAAGTCCGTGCTCGTCTTATTGTAAATGCCATCCACCTCCATGCGCTCCACATGCTCGTCGTGCTTTGATTTAGTCTCACTTTCCAGAGCAACCTCATCAGGAGTCGAGGACGATGCAACGCCCTTGGGACGTTGTGAACGACCAGCTGCGTTCGTCGAACCTTTGACTGCAAAAGAAAACATAAGAAAACGTTTAGGATAAGTCAAAGTTCAAGCAACTCAAGGCACACACAAGCTAAAACCATCACGTGACACATGCACAGTAGTACAACAACGGCAAAAAGTGTTTGCCCAAGACACGCACCCCAAGCCCGGTAAGTATGCAATTCCAAATTTACAAACTATTTTCATTTAATTGACTTTCATAAGAAGAATTATGAAAATAATTTTCGGTTATTTATGCTTTATTTTTATAAGAACAACATCTTTATCATTAAGTGTGTTCTTGGAATTCAACATAATAAAAATCACGCCATGCGGATTAATTCTCAAAATAACTCTTATCAACACAATGAGTTTGCCAAATTAGACCTTGAGGCTGCAGAACTCAGGAATAAAATTTGTTCAATATCTGGCTCTCTACTCCCAGAAGTAGAACGTGGATAAAAATCTCAATAAACAAAAAAAATGGTAATATTAAATTTCTATGTATAATATATATATGTATATATATACTATATATATATGTATATACTTATTTATATATTTTTCAATACAATTTATATTGCAATTTAAAATATATTTTTGATTTATTTTCATGGCATTTCGCATTTGCCAATCAGCCAACGCACCCATTGTCAACTATCTGTGACCATGTGTACGTATGTGTGCCTGTATGCGTGTGTGTTTACGAATAGTGTGTGTGTCACAAAACGTGACCACTGCCGGGGCCAGTAATCAACTACTACATCAGCGATAGTGACGCGCCTCGCATCAATGTGGCATGCTCGTCGCCGACAGCTCACATCATAGGCGACATATACTCGACTCTGACTGCAATTACGAGCGAACAGCGAACAGTGAAACATGCATGAGCCATCGACAGCGTACACCTCCGCACAGACCAAATCATATTCCGATTTGCGTTTCCGCGACTGTGTCTATGGTCAGGGTCAGGCGATGACTGCCGCCTGCCGACTGCTTCAAGCACATGGCAGTGCACATTTCGTATCTGCGCCAGTCGGTGCTGCTGCTGTTGCTGCTGGTGCTGGTGCCGGTGTTTCTGGTGGTGTTGGCATCGGGCCTATCTGACCGCATTCAGCGTTTTGTTTGCCTTTCGCAAATAAAGCATTTTCTGATACGCTGCGCCAGTGCTTTGAAACGTGAGAGCGGACATTGGCCCAAGGGCGCGTCATTGTGCTGAGGGGGAAATATAGGCTAAGAATATCTATATATATATATATTTGCAGATGACGCATTGCAAGTGGTATAAATATAAATGCTACAATTACGACCAAAATATAGCCTTCGATTGCCACGTATATATGTATATGATGTAATCTGTAATGGATGTGATTATTTTGATTATTAACAATGTCGGCTCATAAGCATAGCTTAGTATAATAATAATTTTTATGACTGTATCAAAGTCGAAAGGTCGACCTAAAGCTAATTATTAACTGTTTTTTTATAAATATACTTTTATAAATATAGCTATAGAAACTCACTATAGAAACTTTTTAAGGTGAACACAGAAATTGAGCTCTTAGAGTCTCAATAATTGACTTTTCGGTTGCGATTGTATGAGTTTGAAAGGTATTAATAATGAAAATAATAAATAAATAATATGAATGATAATAAACAAATTTAAATATACATATATTATTATTAACTGTTTTCAAGTTTTCACTCATAATAAATATTGCAGCAATAAATGTCCACTTATACAACCTTCATTTAAAGGAAAGCTATACAACATAAAATATATATAAAATATATATACACATATATATAATTTTATTTACTTGCATAACCCAAATGTTATGCGCTTGAAAATAAATATATAAGGGGAAATATCAATTGGCAATATAATACACATTTCAGCTACATAATCCTCTGGCAGAATTGCTGCTATTCCAAAGCATTGCCAAAGCAGGAAAAACCATCGCCCCGTGACTACCACCCTGTTGCATCAAGTGATGGCTTGCACACACAGACACTCAGACCCACACACACACACATTTGTATATGTAAGCCATACTCAATGCGTGTTTTAAACATGTGCAAAGCATTGCGATGCGATTTGAAGCGACGCGACACGGACAACAACGTAAGAGTTACAATTTAATACGGAAATATTCACTTCGATACTGTTGCTGTTTCTATTCGTGTTCTGAACGCCACCTAGTTCTGTTTACTTCCTGCCATGCCTTATTCTAGCTGTGTTCGTCATCGATACGTTTGGAGGCGTGACAAGGTAAGCTGAGGAAAATCGAGACCCCCACGAGCACTTGCCTGCACTCGCTCAACTGCGCAACGCCAATGAACATTTTATCTACCCATTGTTGTTGTCATTGCCCTGCCTTGCAGCGGGTCTAGGATTACGTTTGGAGGTCGGAGGTATTGGGGTCTGTGGGTTTGTTGGCCTCGCCAAACGCCAACACGGCGTGCGCACACGTGCCAGCCCCTCGCATCGAATTAGTTACCATTTATGTTTAATTAAAGCAAACGACGTTCAAGCCACAGCATTAGGCAGTGCCAGCAAAGTCTGCTCGAATTGCTTTCTAAATGCACGACATTTATTGTCCCAACAAATGTCCACAAATATAAAAGCTAGCGGGCCACAAGCGGAACCTGTGCACAGTGACACGTGGCAATTGGAAAGAATTAATAAAGAAATATTTTTAAATATAAAAAAATTTGCAAATAGTTAATAAATTGACTTTTTATAATGTATGTGAGCATGTTTTTAATTTATATATTCTTTATTTAGTTACTTTTTCATAGAATGATTTTCTCATTAAGGCAAATATGCTTCGCTGTATAAAACTGTGTTCTATATCATTCAAGCAAAATATTTTCATTTGCTTATCATAAAATGATGACACCAATATTTGAAAAGTGATTTATCATGTGCCTTATCTTTCTGAGTATTTCAAAGGTAGAATGATCAGAGAGCAAATTTAACTCATAATTAAACAAATTGTAAACAAAATAAATTAAATTAAATTGAAAATAAAAGCAAGAAAGTCTTGATATTTGAAGATAATATTATGCATACGCGGCCCACTGTTGTTAGCCAAGTTGTTACGTTAACAAAAACTAGGGGAAAACGGGGGTCTACAGAATCATAGACGCCTGCACGTGGCTTCGTCACACCCATTTAGTATTCAACATTTTAACGTGTTGCTGGAAATTAGCAGGAAACACAAAACAAAAAATAACAAATAAGCCAAACAAAAAGCTTTCTAGACAAGGGCGACTACGAGATACGCTTTACAAGCTGGCAGTACACTTAGAACTAATGTGAGTAATACACGAAGAAAGCCTCAACAGCTTATACATGAAAAATTCTTTGAATATAAATATGAGCTATATGTAAATTGTTTTCAATTTGCCAACATATATATACCCCTTTCTCAATTATATGACAACAGGGTATACGAAAAAAAATCATCTGGAATAAATTGCGCTGAATATGGCACCAATAAACGCTGCAACAACAAACATGGCTATAAAAAGCCAAGTCCGCAAAAGCTAAAAGCAACCAAACAAATGTGGGAAAATTGTAAATAAGCTAGCAAAAGTAGCACAGTTGCTGCTGCAGCAACATCAGCAGTAAATGGAAGGGCAACACAAAACGTGTCACACCAAATGGCAAGAGAATAAAGGTTACGACACTCACACACACACATACGTGTGTGCGAAATATTTCTTGTGAAAATAAAATGCTTATACAATATTTATGCTAGGTTCTGTTCCTGAGCTCATTCAAGACGTTGTCTGTGCAGCCATTCAAAATGTTTGTGTTGCCTTTTATCGCATTTACCATTTCAAGAATATACGAGCACTGCAAGAGCTTTTGGTCAATTAGTGTCATATTATGATGAATGATATTACAATATGCTAAAATTACAATATGACGACGCTCAAGCACAACAGCGATGCGTTGATCGACGTGTCTGCATACAAACTCGATTCACTTTGCATATTTTTCCGTCTATTGCGCACATCTATTTCTTTTCAAACAACAATTCGTCAATGATTCATCATTGTTTCTCCTGCCCCTTCTAGTTTTCTAATTTTCCAGCAGCAGGTAATGACATCGAAAAACTTATGCTCTATTTCCTGTTCTTTTCGCCAACGCGTCTAGCTTCCCTTTTTTCTCTCTCTTTCTCTCTGTAATATATTTAGCTTTCTTTTTACTTTTCAAAATGTCTCTCTATCTCTCATTTATCTCCTTCTTCTCTCTGCTTCATTCTGTCTATGTCTCTTGCAATTGCTCTCTCTGTGTCTCGCTCTCCACCCCTTACCCTTTCCATCTATCTCTAGCTTCTCCATTCCTATCCTCCATTCGCCTTTTGATGTTTCACAAACATAAAGTTTAGTTCATTTTATGCGATTGCTTGCTTCTGTTGCCTGTAGCTACATTTTGATCATCATCAGAAGTAAGTCTCATGGAATTTTACTGCATTTGTTGCAGCCAGCGACAACCGACTTTTATTCGCTATCTAGTCATGTGACCAAAAAAACAGTTATATAAAAGTGTCGTGTAGAAAGACTTGAGGGAGCCGAGTAGAATGCTGGGAGCTGCATTGCTGACGCAAATTGTTGCCATAACTAAGGCGCGGGCCAAGGTAAGCCAAACACCAACGGCAGCGCCAACGGCAAGCTGGATACACGTGAAGCGTACACAACATCGGGACACGTGCTTTGAATGGTGTTTACCATTCCGATGAACTGCAAGCGAAGATGGACAACAGAGCTGCTTGACCAAGTTTACATAAATTAATTAAATATGTTCGCGTAACGTGAGCAACAGCAACAACAGCCACAATAACAAACATCTGCTGTAAATAGACACCATGACTTAAAAGAAAACATGACAACGCAAAATTATAATCAAAGTTCAGTTCATGTTACGTATACGCCATGTGCGACTGTCAAGAGTTTTACTCACCGTAGCTTAGCACAGCTCTGTTCTGTGTCACTCCAGATCCAGCACCAGCTGCAGTCGTGCTAGGATTTGTGTGTGACACGCCCATATTGTTTCGCCGTCGCCCCTCCTTGATGGCCGACACGCGCACTTTCTTCTCCGAGCAGATGGTGGGCGCCATTCGAGCTGCAAGCAAAAAATAAAATACGAATAATGCAAAATTAATTGGCCATCAAATTGAATAATTGATTGATGGACTTGTAGCCCAAGTGTCATGCCCACGTAAGAGTAAACAACAATAAATACAATTAAATAGCCACGAGTTCAGTAAACTTTTTATATTTCAACATTTTTGGGGCAAAGATTTAATTCGATTTGACATGTGCCAAAAATGAAACGAATAATCAACTGATGAGATATAGTATATTTAGTTTAATAAGAGCTTTAATAGCTGTTTTACCGCAATTGAGTTATTAGCCCCACACACACACTTTTTGTGGTTATTTATATATATATCATTCTCTGTGGCATTATTTGTGAAGCTCTGATGAGCTTCTTAAATATTATTATTATGCTATTCAGCCTTTAATCTCTAGAAATTTGCAGTACATTAGTCATTCTGCCAGATAAATAAGCTGTGTCCAGAATTCCCACAACAGAAACCGGAACCAGCTGAGACTGTCATTTGAAGCCCTGACAACAGCAACAACAACAGCAACAGGAACATCATCAACAACAACAATTACATTAAAGTATCTGTTGGATAGAACTCATTAGCCAAGTCCCAAAAATCCGAGCACAAGCGATCCAATTTCACAATAGGTAAACAGACTTGGCCAAGAAATCGTTTTAGTCGTCGTCTCAGCAGCTATTACGTGGAAGGGAAAAGCGAAAGGCCTTATATACTAAATTGATAGGCAACATGCAAATTTTTGTTGTTGCTGGGGGATTGTCGTGCTGTCAGCCCGATGAGCCCCAGGCAGCCACATTCAAATTGAAAAGCCTACGAGAAACAACACCAACGAGAGGAGGAGCAACATCAACAAAGATCTTATTGCCGGCACGTGTATCTCTTGAGTGTAATTACATTTGGAAAGTGTGCGGCGACGCGGCCATCAAGAGCCATTTTCATTTCAAATACTTATGCGAAGCCGTGGCACGGCATCGACTAAGCGGATTTTACAAAGCCAACAGAATTCCTGTCGATGTGCCAATATGCATAGCTCAAAATACAAATTTAGTATTTATGTCTCTTGGCCCTTAAAACATCCGGTGAAATACGACATTTCTGGAAGCCGTCTGGCTCTCGGGTGAGCCAGCATCTTAGCCACAGTCCCGCATTAAATGTAACAAAAACCGTGAAGCGTAACGTATGCCAAGCTCAACGAATAGCCCCAGTGGCATATTTGACGTGCACGCGCCGCCATTTCCAAGGGGTTGGACGGGTGGTCCAGCATACCAGCATACCAGCAAGCCAGCCTGGCAGGCAGTCTAAAAGAGATTTTTGCCCAAAACTGAGTCATATTTGCGCAAGCCATAAGCAAATGAGGCGAGCATGCGAAATAGAGAGAGAATATATGTCCAGAAACAGACGTCGATGATAAAATACACTTACAAAATATTTTATAAATTATTGCTAATATATATAAGTAAATATGGCTAAATATATTATTATTATATAATTAAATTATTATACTATTAACTGAAGGCAAAAAAATATTACAGTATTTAGTTTTCTTAAATGTAGTTGAATATTATTTGCTTTTATTGCACAACGCTTGCTCTCGTAATTCATGCCATAGTCAACTGTCTCCATGATATATCTATAACTTACATAAAGATATATAATAAAAAAGGTTGGCATGATATAAAACCCCCTAGCGTATTCCACTCACAAAGTGGTCTGATGATTCTAGCCTGTTTCTACATCGAACTGGACACAAAACGAGCAACACGTGCCGCTGGCGGCAACAAAGCAGAAACAAAAAAGAAAAACAAAATAGAATAAAACTTTGACTCATACGCTATCTTCTTTAGATATACACATGTTGTATGTTAGCAGCAATACATAAGTGTGTGTTATACGTGTATTTTGTGTCAGGTATTTTGAGAACAATTTGAAACACGCGTAGACCGTCACCTGTAGCTGAAGCTATAGCTTTAACAGCCGCCGGGGCTGGAGGTCATGTCAATCAATGGCCATAATGAGAACTGCCACTGCGTGTGCATAAATTAGCCAAATAATTGTTAGACACGACACGCTGACTAACACGAATCGCCTACCCCTCCCGCTAAGCTTGGGACCCACCTAAAAAACAAAGGCCTACAGCTCATTGACTTTTGAGACAAAACGGGAAATTGGCCGCTCAAATTGTTGGAGCGTTTCTGGCCAATTACTTTTTTGGGCCCCAAGAGCAGTCACAAACAAAGACCTGCCTCGCCCCGAATCCATATTAAATTGTGATTGTCAACGCTGTAAGAAAAAAAGGAAAATAACAAACAAAAACAAGTTCAAAAAACTCTCGCAGCTGAAGTTGCTTTGAAGGCGTTGTCATACTGAAGTTTATTTGGCGCACATGTCACGCTGTTTCGCTTCAGGGTAGGCTGAGGCTGCAATACACAACATATAGAGGCCAGACCTCATTTCTACGCTTATGATATGTCGCATACATACACACACACATGCACACAGATATACACATATATGAGTCGTCTGCCTTTCTGTTCACTTTTTGTGCACACGCACGCCATGAAAAGCGTTTTATATTGCACATGGGCTTCATTTGTTTAAATGTCGTCGACAATTCCCGCAATAACTTAGCTGTTAAATATTTAAGCATGTGATAACTCGACATTCATTAGCTTAAGCGACTGTTTTTCTGGTACACCACGCTGGCGAAGCTTCAACTTCTTCACGTATATTACGCATACGCCACGTAAGCTGTTCTTCAAGGAAATTACGTTGTCAGCAGTATATTTTAGCACAATTTGTGTTGTTAAGTAAAAAGCAATAGTATTTAACAATATTTAGCAATGCCAACTATTTCACGGTTCTTGCTTCGTTAGCGCTGCGCCATACACTGCGTATGCGTCATCACCTCAAGCTGTCTCCTCGGCTCAATCTAACACCTTTACACGTGCCGTTCATCGCAGACATAACAAACAAATCTTTATTTGCCAGCGCCACCGCTAACAAAAATCTTAAGTAAATCGGCCAAAAAATTTCAAAACAAAACAAGCAAAAAAAGAGAAGAAAAACTTTCCATGGCATATTTCCCCATAAAAGTTTGCTTACGTTGATTCCGTTTGTCTGAGCTCTACATCCAGACATGAATGGTGCTCATTTTATGGTCGGACTATGGGCATTAAAAGTTTATGTTTGATGTTTATAATTCCGAGTTGACTTGATGAACAAATAGACAAAGGAAGGCAATATAAAACATCAATGTAAATTCTAGTCGGCAAACTATTCGGAAAATTTTTCTTATAGTTTTTCTATAATTTCTTTGAAACTATTTTCTAATTTATGCCACAAATTGCAATAAATAACATTTTTAATCTTAGAATATATATATATATATTTAAGCTAAGAAAATATTGTTGAATATTTCTGCATTTGTTTATAATTATTTCTTTCGAAAGGTAAGATAAGGACAATGTATTTATTAAATGAAATTAAATTTACGAAAGCCTTAATTCCTTTCTAGTTCATTTTCTTAAGACTCTAATCTATGCAGACTTATTTGGACATTGTTTTATTATTATCTGACTCTTCTTTGACGTCAGCTCGTACTGTTGTTTCCAACTCAGATGTACAAGGTCTACAATTAAAAGTGGAACAACTGAAGTAGAGTGCTAATTTCCTTGTTATCTCCATTCTATGATAGGTAAGGAAATAAAAAAGAATGTTTAACCAGCAACAGTCGGGCAGCCGGAACAATTTCATAAAAATAAAATTTTAACATCGTAGCTAAGACAATAAAAGTGTCTTGTAATTATATTTATGAACGTCTGCGTCTGAGAAACGTGTCATATTTTTGAGCAGAAAGCTTACCGAAAAGTGACCTAAGCGTCATATCGAAATGAAAAGATAAACAGAGCCATGTCGCGAACAACGAGACATCTATACATACAAATAGGACTTATCAATAAAAAAGATGGGAGAGACGATAGACGTTATGGGCTTTGGTAAGTGTGCAGTATTGCCAATTGAATTGCCAGCTAGGCGATAAAAATTTATGATGGCGACAAGCACAGCAAATAAAAAGCGAAACATTCAACGAGCGAGTCACACGTGTGCCTAACGATGACCCAATTGCTTTGCCAATGGCAAACAAAAACCAGCCACGCGCAACACAAACACAAAAACAATACCAAACACAAAAACAAATATAATACACTAATACACAAGGTTCCACAAACAGCAGCTCGTTAAAGAGCCAGAGAAGTCAGTCCCCCCAAAAAAAGACCGTACAGCCACAGCAGTGCTATTAATTAGGCCCGAGTGTTACTCAAATAAAACACCAAGCAGCAAAATTTTTCCATGCACCATATTTGATATGCCACGTACAAAGGGTTTATCACGCAGTTATCGCAACGACGATTGGTATAATTAATCAACTCGACTCACACAGTAAGTTGCTAGTAAGCTATTTCTGCACACCATCTCGCTTAATAAGTTAGTGTGAATTAAATTCATAAATTTTGCCTTTGTATTAATCACATAATTGTTTAAGCTAATATAATTACATTAGCTCTTCAACTGATGTTATCAAAAAATATCATGTATTAGTCTAATATAGTTACAATGTTCACTTATAATGCAAATACTTTGTGTGCTCAGCATTTATTAGTTTTTATTCGAAATTGCGATTATTGCTCCACTTTCAGCTCATCCAAATGCAGTTCAATTAACATTTGCTGGAAGAACTTGAGACTTACGCCAAGCAGTCCAAAGAGCTGTCGAAATGTTGGACATTATTGCAAAATACGCTGAAAACGCATGGCAACAATTGCAAATTACAAAAGCCAAAGAAAAAAAAACAACTAAACAATGAATGTTTTTGTTGAGTGCGAACTATTTGCAATACAATAGATCAATTATATAGCGCCTTATGTGGCAGGCACATGGCTAACAATAAGCAATCCAATTAGCTGAACATATCTGTCCGCTAAAGTGCAATAAA